AACTGATGGTTCTGGCTACAAATGGTAGCATCGTCTGGGGATTTGAACTTCTTCACCTTTCTGTACAGATAGCCCCTGTGGTTTTAGAGTTTCCTCCCTCAGATGAAGCAGCTTGTCTAATATCTTCAGTGGCTTAAAACACAACCACTTTAAAGATGTAGTTGTTTTTTTTCCTTATCTAGGAGCCAGAAGGCTGGAATTGGAAAAGGTAAAAACCTTTAAAGCTGGTTTTGTCCTTAAACCGAGAAGGTCTAGATGAGGGATTGCTTCTCTCTTGTCCTTAATTCTTGCTCCTGGTTGTGAGGTTGGGAGCTGCAGCTCATGCCATGTGTTCAGCAGGAGCTGGGTGCTGTAAGCAATGATACAACCATGGCTGCAACTTTAAGGAAATGTCTTTAAAGTTCTTGAAAATCCTTACAATGATGTATGAGCCATTTAATCACATCTTTTGGGGGATAAAAACGAAACTGTGGTTTTTTTTTCCCTGCATGGAGGTCACAGGATGCACAAAAATGGCAGAGAAAACCCCATGCCAGTGCTGGAACAGCAGAGCTGCAGCTGCATTATTGGCATGGGGAAATTTCTTAAAGTGTGATCAAAACAGCAGCAGTCGGACTATAAACTTGGTTTGGGTTCCAGTGGTCCATAAATAGCTTTCCAAAACATGTCTATTGTCCAAAAAGGAATTTATTTATAAACTGAAAAAAATAACAAGACTTAAAACAACCCAAACCCCTCTTGGCCAGTGTAAACTAGATTGTTCTTTTGTATGTACATGCCTGTGTACAAAAAGGGTAGAAACTTCTTTGAATTTCATTGCAATAAAACGTTTAACACAACTGTTTCCTTGCAGCAGGGTAGTGCTGGTGGGCTGCCTGTTGAGCAGCCAGTTTCCAGCCCTGGCCAGACCTGGGGATGGAGTATTGCCACTCACTGGACCAGGGTCCTGCAGCATCACCCCTGCCTCCTTTCTGCTTGTTATCTTTTAGTTGGTGGGCTTTGTTTAGGTTTTTTTTTTATATACCATTGAGCGAGGATTTGGAGGAGAAAAAACCCCACTGATTCTAAAATGTTGCAGCATTTTCTGGAAAGTCTTCTGCCCACTTTTGCCTTGCAGCTCCATTTCTGACAGAGAACAATTTGTTGGAAAATGTCACCTGTCTCTACTCCTCGTGGCCCTGATGCGGTTTCGCTTGTGTTACTGACGTGTGCTGATGCGAGTCACATCTTGGAACAGTAAATTTCACTTCTGGTGTGTGTTCAAGTGAGGGACAATACTTGTTCATAATCCTAAACTACTCATTTTCATCCTGTTACTCTGTGCACATGCTCTCTTGAGAGCTTAGTGTTTCATAACTGGCTTGTAACTGGAAAGAAAGAGAATCTTTTTACACAAAGATACCTTAAAAATCAGAAAGTCTGCTGGAATCGTCAGCTTCTGATGTTACTTATGAGGATTTTGTATGCAGAAGATTACAGCTTGGTGGTGAGACTTCACGTACCCATTGCTAACTTGCTATGAAGCTATTTCTGTCTGGAACAGACTTTAAAGGCCAAACTGAAGTGAAAATAGATTTGTTTGGTTTAATGTTTCCTTTCAACATTATCTTAGGAACGTCAGCAAAAAATCTAATATTTCCACTCGCTTGAGTAATTTTAGCTGGTTTTCCCCCAGGAATGGCCTGAGAAGCGTGAGTTGGTGTGTTCAGGCTGAGAAACCCGGTGTGTGTTCCTGGGGCTGGAGGTGAAGCCATCTGGGAACAAAACTTGAGGGCATTTGTGTTTCCCCAGGCAGTGCAGCCGTGAGCTCCAGCTCATGCAGCCCTTTCTTTCAGCAGTACTGGTGTCTGCTGCTCCGCACCCCAGCCCCTCTCCTTTTGTCCCTTTGTCTCCATCCTGCCTCCACTGCAGGATCTTCCCCTCCATCTCCATCCATCCATTCTGCTTATTTCCATCCACTCCTGCATGCAGCCACTTCCTTCCTTGTGGTTGTCTACCCATCCCTGTCCTTGTGTCCTCTGTTGTTCCTATCCACGAGGGCTCACACTGCAGTACCCTGCCTCAGCAACGTTGCTCTCTGCTCTCCAGCTCACACACTGGCTGTGTGCACATTCCTGGCTTTCCACTGGCACTCTCTGCCCTGCAGAATGTGTCAGGAGCACTTGGTATAAACAAAGCTTTTTGTGTTTGCAAACTGCAGTTAGCTGAAGCCTATCAACCAAAATAGCTTTAGACATGACAGTTGTTTGCACAGGACGAGGTGCAGTATCTGGAAAGGCACTGGCTGGTGTCCATGCCTGGTTAGGCAACTGGGAGAGGTTTTTTTAGGAAGCGAGTGCTGCGTGTTGACAGGCGCATCCTGAAGAATTGGCTCCTCACTCCTTCCCAAACATGGGCAGCAGGAACCATCTCCCAGGCTCTTGTCCTGAGGAGAGCATATGCCCTTTTGAGTGAGACAAAGTACCCTGAAGCAGCAGCAGGCGTCTTTTGCTTTATTTTAGGCACTTCCCCCCCTGTGGTATTCCCCTTCCTGAGATTAACAGAAGTTATCTAAACAAGATCCCATAAAATAATGCGATCTGGCAGCTTGGAGTCTGTTTTGTCTGGTGGTTGGTGCCATGTTTCTCTGGAACATTTAATGCTCTTGCATAAGTGCTTGTCACTGTGGTTGGAAGACTTGTCTGAGGAGCTGGGAAAAGACATCACCTCTTAATCTTCCAACCTAGGGGGGTTTTCTTAGGCCAGAAAACTAGGGTTTCAAACTGGTACTACTCATGCATCAACACCAGCTCCTCACTTTTCTTCGCAGTGCTTTTAGAGAATCACCTCCTTTGACCACAGACAGACTGAGCTGCACAGAAACCAGACGCCCTTGCTTGCCTTTCATATGGTGCCTTTTCCAGCAGAAAAGAAACGCATTTCCAGCTTTGCTAGTTCTTCATAAACAAGCAGAGAGTGTTCATGGTTGTGATACCTGGAACTTAAAATACAACCCAGAGACTGTCCTTGCTCTGTGAAACTTGGAGAATGAGTGAGAATAAAGCAAAATGGGCAATGTGGTGGTGTATAGAGAGGTGTTTGGCATACATGTGTCTCAGAGGAAAACTCTATTTAAGTTCATTGTATGAAATAATGGCAAGTAGGGTAGCCAGAGGTATTTTCTTCATGCTGAAGAAACTTGATCTTAATGGCTGAGATAGTCCAGCCTGGTCAGATTTGGGGCTGCAAGGAAGGACTGGATATGCAGTCTGCCTTTGAAGGGGTTGAACCGAGAGGCTGAGCTGAGATGCTGTAAGGAATGTGAGGATGTGTGTATGGCTCGGAGGCAATTGAATAGTAAAAATGATTTCAAGAATGAAGAGACTTCTCAAGAGATGGAAAGTGTAATAACTGTCAAACAGCTCGTGTTTGACATGGCAGAATGTACAGTTTAATAGTAGATTGGGTAAAAACTTGGTTTTCTTTTTTTTATTAGAAATGTGGGACAGCTCAAAGTATGTACTTGCTAAGCAGCAGATTTGGGACACGTACCTGAGGCTGATGAAAACTCACTGGATCTGTAATTTAGAAATGGTTAATGAAAATGTCACTAGTTCAGGGGGGGAAAGATCCGTTTATTACCAGGTCTGATGCAGCCGTGCTGGGAGAGGAGGGGTGGCCATGAAGGGTGAGTGGCAGTTGTGAGGAGAGAGCAGCAGCAATGGACTAAATGGATGCTTAAAGACAGCCAAGGCATAGGTGGGCTGTGCTCTCCCAAACTTCATCCTTCCAGGGCTGCACTTGTCCTGCACCAGCACCCTGCAGCCTCCCCACGGCTCCTGGTCCAGCTCTGCGGCCATGTGAGCTGCGGCTCCAGCCCTGGCTCCGTATTTGGCTCTCAGCTGCTGCACCCTGACCCTGGCACTGCTCAGGGAGGTTTCCCTTTGCCGTATATGGAGAGGCTGCTCGGGAACGCTGCTGCAGACCTGAATTAGCAGCAGTACAACATCTGTACAAAGCTCTGCTGCTGCTGCCCTGAGCTGGTTGGGTTAAAGCAGGGCCTTGGGCTGGGTTTGCAGCAAAAGGAATAATTTGAGGAGACCAAATTTCCCATTAAATCCCATTTCTTTATTGCTTGCCAGGATGCACATGGTTATAATTTCCTTTATGGCGGTACAGTCATGCAAAAGAAGAATAGAGCATAAGCAGACCCTCTCTGCATCAGGAAGTCAGTAATTCATATATGGCAGTAAATAAAAACCACTCTCCTGTAAAAACCCAGCACAGTCTTTGCCAACACGGATACTGCTTTTCACATGGGTGCTGTGTGAGTATGCAGAGGATGGGCTGCATCAGGTGTGGGATCTTGTCCAGCCTGTGTGGTCAACACCCCCAGGCTTCTCCTTCATATGAGCAAGGACAGGGCTTGTGGGATCGCAGCTCTCCAGAGACCATACCTGCCACTACTGAAACCCAGAACACAGCAGGAGAGGGTTGTTTGATTTTCTTTTTGTGCAAAGAAACATAAGCCAAAATTACTTTGGGATCTTACTGCTAGTGAGAACTCGATGAGATCTCTAACACGGAGTCCTTGCAGCAAGGTGGGACTCTGGTTTCTCTGAGGGTGGGTTCAGCGTGTGCTTCCAGGGCACGAAGGAAGCAGATTGTACCTCAGATGGCCCTCCAGCACACTTCACTGCACCTGAAAAAGCAACATTCTTAATTGTATTGACTTAATTGTAAAGCATGGCCAACACAGCCTCTGTGAGGGGACTGCTCCCACCTTTGCTGTGCATTAGAGACTTTAGACCTCAGCGTGTTCAGTTATACGGGGGCCCAAGTCAAGGCTCAGATATAACTCTTTAGAAAACTTCTATTCTAAGAGTTTTCTTGTAATTTCCATTTTCAGCCTGTTTTGCACCCCCTTGTTTCTGCATTGAACCGTGGAACTGCATAATTAGCAACAAAAATGGTTTGACTGATTTTGTTTGCTTTCTCTCCCCTCTTCTCTTTTGTGACAGATTAAAAAGCAGCAACAAGATGTGTTAGGTTTCTTGGAAGCTAACAAAATTGAGTTTGAGGAAAAGGATATTGCTGCCAATGAGGAGAATCGGAAATGGATGCGTGAGAACGTCCCTGAAGACAGCCGGCCAGCAAGTGGGAACCCCCTGCCCCCCCGGCTCTTCAATGACAGCCGGTACCTCGGGGTAAGGAATGGCTCCAGGTCCCAGCATCTGCTTCCTCCCAGTCCTCTTGCTCGCTGTTGTCACCAGCAGGGAAGGACTTGACCAGCCCTGTGTTCAGGCATGCACAGTGCGAGGGGCATGTTAGACATTCATCCCTCCTCTTGGGCTTGTAATCGTAACTGATTCCAGGTCCACCATAGAGGAGAGATTAAAGCTTGGACCTCCTGATTCTTAGGTTATTTATGCTACTTACTGGAAAGAGCCTACCACCACCTTGCAGTGTATATATATGCCCCCCCCCCCCCTTCTGTTTTTTTTCTCTCCTCTTGTGGCTCTGAAAATATACAGGGTTTTTTAATTCTCATGTTCACCATAATGGTGAACTAGCACTTCACAGATCTGGCACTGTTGCACCAACCTTACGTTCTGTACCAAGTTCAGAGGTCTGTTCTGACTGTGTGGGGTTTGCCCATGTGTGTGGATCCCAGGTAGCTCTATAATCTGTTCATCTTCCAAGATAAGTGCTCCTATGAAGTGATGTCTGCCATGCTCTTAGATCAGTTTTGTGATCCTCTGATCCACTTTTGTGTACTGCTTTCAAAATGAAGGCTTCTGCAGCCTGCTTACTCCAGTAACTTCAATGGATTAAACTCATGTTGTAAATACAATTTCTACTTCTAATTATTTTAGTGCTTGATCAAAAGTAAGTTGCCCTGCAGCACTTCTACTCAGCAGGCCATGCCTGAATGGTTATTAGATTAACTGTTAGTTTTGTTTTTTAAACTTAATATCTTCTGAAAAGAGCTCCCAGTATGAGACCTGGTGCTGTGTGTTGGATTTCTAAGTCATTTTGCAGTCTGGTTCTGACCTGCAAAGTCTCTAAGCCAGAACCTGCTGATTCTGGACCTTTGTGAGGCAATTTTGTGGCTACTGAAAAATTACTCTTAAAGGTCCAGGAAATTTTTTCCTGCTTGTAATAAAAGCAGAACTTGAAACTATCCACAGTGAGCTAATGCACTACTCGGCTCTCAAAATGTTACTGACTGTGCTTGTGACACAGAAAAAAGTTGGTTTGGAGCAGCAAATGTAATGATAAATAGTTGTCTGCAGCAGGAAACTGAGAAGGGGCTAGTCACAGAGAGCTGAACATCTCTGTTCTGCTACCTCTTTAAAAACAAACAAACAGAAAGAAGCAGCAAATATTTCTGTACCAGTAGGAATTCCCATTGGAACAGTATCACCTTTCTCCCTTGGTGTACCAGAGCTTTAGGGATGCAAGCAGATCACTGTGTGGTTGTCCTTTATCAGTGCAGTGTTGCCAGATTTCTGCTGCACTGCTGCAGCTGTGCAGCAGAATGGGGTTTACCATGCAGGGATGTGGGACAGGAATTAAAAAGCTGTATGCACCTAAATCTGGATGCCTGCTTGTCAGAGGTGCTTCCCCAGCTACAACCTATGACAGTTGTGAATACAGTAGCTTGGGGAAAAGGGGGTTAGATGCTTTAGACCAGTTCTTGCTATGGGTTTATTTCATCCCTCAAATTTTGGTTGCTGTCATCTTGAACTTTTTGAATTTCAGAGAGTTAATGTAGCTTGATTCAAATTACTATAGTTTAGCTTTCAGGAAGGCCAAAGTTAATTCTGTGCCCACACACTTGAACCTCTTTGTCTTTATCTGATCCATCTCAAGCATGAACTTCCCTGTATATTTCATCTGATGCAGCATAGCTGGCAGAGGAATGAGCAAATTGTCTTTTATTGGCCTGTGCACAGCAGAAAGGCTGTAACTGTTGGTGCTGTGCAGGCTGGCATGAACCCTGCTCCTTAGTCACAGGCATTCCTTTCCTGGAAGATGCTACAAAGCAGACAGCTGGACTATGCACTAGCAAGATAAACAACCCCTTTGTTATCAAGCAGCCCCAGTACTGCCAACAGAAGGGCTTCAGGGGGGATTTAACTTAATTGTACACATTTTTATCAAATTAGCACCTGAATGTTGCATGTAAAAATCGAACAATAACTCAGTGCACCTCGTCTTCTAGGCAGCTTGAATCCTCTGTGTCCTGTAGTTTTTCTGTTTCAGCTGCAGCCGCCTCTTTTAGAGCTGCCCCTGCTCTGAACATGCTGCTATTTGCAAATGGCATTTGCTGTTTCTTAGGCTTTTGCCTACCACACAGACAGGCATGCAAAGCAGCATGCCCCTAATGGCAGCTCTTTTCCTGACTTCAGCCCTGACTGAGCCTGCTCTGAGCTACTGCCTTGCCTGTTTTCTCAGGCTGGACTCCTGCATCAGAACACTCCCCCACAAAGCTGGAGGAAGCTGTTGCTGTTGCTTCAGTTAAAAAGGGAGAAAAGGAAAGTCATAGGACAGATATGTGCTGAGTTTGGAAATCAGGGTGAGGAAAGTATGTGGTAACTGGGACGACAGTGGACTTGCACAAACCTCATGGGTTCATTTAGTCGGCGTTTGGCAACTGCTGTTGCTGAGTCACACTGTGGGCTTTTTGGTTCCTTCTTCCAAACGTAGCAGACAGCTAAGCTGCATTGTTTCTACCAACACTGCCTTCTGCCTCAAATATAAAAAAGGGCAGAGAAGGGAGCATTGGTATTTCTCTTATTATTTCATTGGTTTTACCTTAATTTTCCTGGGAAGTGGCTGTTATGTATTTAGAGCAACTACAGGGCCCTATGAGAACAATGAACAGTGCTACCTGATTTCCTTCATTAGCGTAGAGTAATCATTAATGAGAAACATGATGGGAAAAGGTGTACTCTCAGTTTACAGGTTTAAATTTAACTTTTAACAGGTTTAAGAGTTAATGTCCATAGTTGCACACTTGCCGTTCCTCCTCAGTAATTAGCAATGATGACATCTGGGCGCATGAGTGTTACTGATGACAAGGTACAGACTCAGCCTGCTCCTGCAGGAGGGACATCCAGGCCAGACCAGTGACAATAACTGCCTTGCTATGGAAGCTCTCCCTCTGGGAAAGGCAGAAGCACCTCACAGCAGCATCTTCTTGCTCCAGACAGTGATATTCTCTTTTCAGGCGGTACAATGGGTAGGGGATTAGTGCGAACAACAATTACCTGAGGGTCCACTGAATTTTGCATTCGGCCACAGGAAGCAGCTTGCTTGGTGCGTGTTTGATAACACAAATTGAGCTGTGGCTATTTCTGACAACTCATGTTTTGCCTTTTGTTTCCCCCTGCTTCGTGGACTCCTTTGGTGAAGGACTATGAAGCTTTCTTCGAGGCACGAGAGAACAACGCGGTATATGCGTTTTTAGGCTTGACTGCACCACCTGGTTCAAAGGTAGGTGTGCACGTTTCTCACAGGAAACCCCAATCTGTATTCTACATCTTGTTCTTCTCTGCTCATAGTCGGGTATTTTATGTGCTCTGTGGTTGCCCCAGTCAACCTACCCATGGATCTGATAACTTTCAGGCTCCAGCATCACAGCACACACTGTTATGTGCTGGTTTATTTGGAGGATCTGGTGTTCCCTGGAGGCAACTTCCCTCCTTCTATGAGAAGAACTCAGTGTTCAGTACAAATGCTTTTTTGGTGTCCTCACTGCAGAGCCACCCTGTTCTTATTTAAGTTAATGGAAGAGCTTTCATTGCTTTGGAAAGAAGAGCTGGGTCAAGTTCTTCACTAGAAGTAATTGTTTCTGACCACTGGATTTTTGTTTTTCCTCAGTTTTTCACTGAAAAACGCACAAGAAATCAAGATTTAAAAAAATTGTCACAAACCCAAAGAATCCTTTTAATTCAGTGAAAAAATTAATTCATGTGAAGTTTTGGTAAGAATTTTTGTACTAGAAACTACCTTGAAACCAGAGTCATTGTATTTGAAATAATGTGGTCTTGCTTCAGAGTAATTTTTTCCTCCAGCTTGTTATCCAAAGCCTTGTTTTTCTTCGCCAATTACAAACTGGGTTGCTGCTTTGTGGATGCAATGAGCTGGAATTCTCCATTTGATTTTGATAGGATAGGACAAGCCTGCTTTATACGTTTCACTTGACAACAGCAGGATCCTCCAGGTCACTTCCAGCTTTCTTGTTCCAACGGATAAACACGCCGTTTCCTTTCAGCTTTATTCATGTAAGAGTTGAAGGTCATGCTGTGCACATCACTAAGAGACCTAATTTTAAAGGCGGATGGTGATCTGTCAGTGATGAGCATTACAAGTTGTGGATCAGACTGAAGCAGTTTCGGGAGCCAGACTGATTTCTAGCAGTAGAAATGGTGTAGTGAGGAAGAACTCTGCCTTGTGCAGAATTGCAGAGAGCAAAACCCCAGCATCATGCGTTGCCGACGTTGGAAGGCCAGCTGCACACAGTGCCATAGTCATATCAATCTTCCTTAAGTTTCTGGGAACATCTGTACAGTATCGCACAAGAGAGTGTGCAGCATGGAGCCAAGGAGTAAGAAAGCAGCTCTGAGATCACAGCAAGAAAGCTTGTGTTTCCTTTCATGTGAAGTGCAGTGGTACTGGGGAGCAGGTGCTGCCATAATGAATCAGGTCATCTGTGTCTGTAATGTGTATGAACATTGCTGCTTCCTTAACCTGCCAGCCTGCAGAACCAGTCAGCATGGCTATTAGTTGCTCTGATTCCGTCCTCACCTAAGGAAAAGGTGAGTTTTCAGAAGGAGAATCACAATGCAGCTGTACTATGCTGAATTGCTTGCTGCAGCCTGGGGAGGTGCGTTTGAGCTGATGAAGATAACCTTTGCATAAGTGACCTTGTACCCAGTGCATTCTGCTGCTGGTCTGACTTTTGGTATCTGTCCCACAATTACATGATGTAAAATCAAGCTGATTGCCTGATGCTGAAATTGGCATTTATAGCACAGCTGCATGCAGCTTGGATGTAATATTTGTAGTTAATGACATTGCATCCGTGTCTGTTGCTACATAAAATGGAAAGTCTGGGTTCAACCTGTATGTGAGTGCAAGAGAGGACCTTGACAGTAAACCTCCATTAGATGTCATTAGGAGAGGTTTGGAAAGGTAGTTGACTGAGTACAAATGTCCAATATTAATGCTAAACAAGAAGAGCTCTGAAGTAAGCATGTAAAATGCATATGAAACTATTTACTGAGCCCTGGTGATTTGGTTTGTGCTTTGGGCACTGAGGGTACCATTAGACCTACAAACCCTGAGAAAGGTTTGCATTCTATTCATCTTAAATATCCCTACCTCAGACAATATGGGTGGGTCTTAAGTGGAGAGGATTTTGTGAGTTAAAGGCCTTGATTAATTATTTAAGGACTGAGAGCATGCTCAGTGAAGGGCCTTGAGGGAGAAGTAAGGAAAAGCATGAAAGAGGTGTAGTGTCAAATCTGAGAAGCGTGCAGGACCATACCTGAGGAAATAAGAGTTTGACCTTCAAGGCAGATAGGTTAGTATGTTCTCTGAGTTACTTGTACCCACTTTCCTGGGGATGAGGGGAATACCTGGAGTCCTTCCTGGTTTGCCACTGCCTGTTTTGAAGATAAGTACTTTGTCTTGCGTTTTCTGGAGAGAAAGGAAAAAACAGCGCTGGATGTCACTTCTGTAGTGCTCATGACTGGTGGAGTTGTCCCAAAGCCAAAGGAACCATCTCCTCTTTCTTACCCTTCAAAGAGCCGCTTGTCTTTTAGAGAATATCAAACATCGTTTTTTTTTCACCACGCTGTGTAGTTCTTTTTAACCTTTTCTCCATTCTTCACCTGCCTTTTCTGCCATGAACGGACTGGATGCCCTTGCACGAGCAGCGGTGACACCTGGCTCTGCTCTTTGGCCTGTGATATGTGGGCAGAGAGGAGCAGAGCGCAGCCCTGGAGCACAGCAGGCCTGAGCCAGCGGCCAAGCGAGGCTTTCCCACGCCCCTGAGTCAGGAGGCAAGGCTCTTGGGCAGACAGCCAGGAAACCCAGAGTGGTCCACCGTGTCTAAGATAAGGGAGATATGCGTGGTACTTCCTGCCCTGCAGGCTGGGGTCACCCACGTGTCCCCTCTCTTGCAAGTCTTACAGGCTTCTTGGAAATTCGTTTCTTAGTCTTTCCTCCTCTTGTTTTTTATGTATTTAGCATGCTGGCTCATGTTAGCAATGATTTTGTTGTGTCTGTTATCTTCAGTATTTCTTTTTAGTCACAAAAGCAAACAACTGCTTTACATAAAAGTTCAGCAGATGTCAAACTTTTTCCTTTAAAATAAGCCACACTGTCCAGCCTAAAGTGCCGTAGTGAGACCACCAGGATTCTTTATCTTCCTTGCTGCTAACAGGTGATTAAATAAATCTTTGATCAAAAGTACACTTGTAGAAAACACCTTCAGAAAAAAAAAGAAAAAGTTAATTTTGCCTTTCTTCTGTTGTCATTCTCTTCTCCTTTGTGACCCCCTTACAAAGGCTGAAAGACAACTGAATAATGCAGGTTAATTTTCTTCTGTGTCCCTGCTGGCTTCTGTCCCCCTGCAGTGCAGCAGGGAGCTGAGATTACTCAGCACTGTCGGTGCCAGGACGGACCTGCTGCCAGCCCAGAACAGGGCTCACGTGTGGGTCTTGTGCTTGAGCAGCTCTGGGCTGTGTCCAGCTGAGGACTCGCAGCTTGATCCAGTCACCCTTCCGGGAGGCAGTGGCTAAATGCTGGCTCAGTCCGGTTTGGTTCAGAAAGGGTACAGCATCTATCCTGAGACCTCTTCCCCCCCTTTTTTTGTTTTAAACTTTTATGGTCAAAGCCAGCTGCGGGCACAGGTTGGAGTATTCCTGCAGGTCTTACTTGGGATGGCTCAGAACTGGAGTTGAAGCCAGCACCGTATGGGACTTGTTTTGTAATGTCATTAGAGGTGATGGGGACTCTTATCTTAAACTGGGTTCAGTGCTGCTCACTTCTTAATCATGTACCACTGCAGACTTTGTTGTGTCATACACTCACACAGGTAAGTGTAAGTTACCACCTTCCATGACGTACTAATATGTGTAATTCTCTTCTGCTATTTCAGGAAGCTGAAGCACTGGCAAAGCAGCAAGCATGAATTTCAACTGCCTTAAACGTTCTGTAAAGGGAATTTCCACAGCTTTTTATAAAATAGTACAATTGTCTCTGCTTCAGGAAATGTAGGTGTGATTTCTAACATTTGATTGGTGCTTGCAGCATTCACCTAATACAAATTTGAACACAAGATGACAATGTGAACATAAAGTTAGAGAGCGTGGAGTGTGTTACTGCCAAGTTGGAAGCATAGGAATGAAGCAATTGGACATGAATGATTTTCACCTAATTCAAACTGTCTTGGCAAGTCGTCCATTTTGTGTAAACGTAAAGAAACTATTTTAGTACTAATAATACAAATGGGGTTATACCTAGAGATCCAAGTATTTAAAACATGGAAAACAGCATCTAAAACCTTGTCAGATAGTAACTTTAGTGCCTGAGTTGCCTCAAAAATGTTACTGAATTACACAGTAATTTTTCAGTGTCTTTTCTGGTTTCAGATGAAATTGTAGGTGGTGGTGTGTAGTATAGCCATTGTAGTCACTTTTGAAAGTTGTGTTTGTTCTTTTGTAGAGTGAGTATTTAAGATTTGTATTGTAACACACTGTACAGATGGTAAAAACAAACAAAAAAGCCATGTTTTTCTCATGTAAGTGATCCACGTGGGCCCTTTTCACAAAAAGGGATTTGGGCAACGGATGGCCTTTCCGTTGGCAAGTTCATCACACAGCTGCCTAAGCACGACTCGATTACACATCTGTGTGCAAGGTCCAGTGCACCTCAGTGACGACTGCTCTAATCCCCAGGCACTCCTGCAAATAAGCCAAAACAGCCAGAAATGGCATTTCCTTACCTGTGTAAGGGTGAAAGCCTTTAATGTATTTCTCTACAAAAATGCCAGTTCACACTGCTTATAGCATTAGGCATCGTATTGCATGTTCAAGTAGTCATTAGACCCATATAGTATTTTTTCAAAGGAGGAAATAAATGTTTGAATAGCAAGAATATTGTAATTAAGCGAGACTTCTTTTTTTTTTAAGGTTTTAAAAACTTTTTTCCCATTGTTATTGCCATATCATAAAGCTATTGCAGCAACTGCAGATCCATTAAAGTGTCTTGTATTGGTGCAATATTAACCTGTCTGTTCTCCCAGTGTTCCTGAGAGAGACTCTTTTTCTTGGCCATACTCTGCAAAAATACAGATAATTACAAGTGCCCTGAAGGGTGAGAAACAGGTTTTGAAAGTGTGTGGGTAACTTAAGATGCATTTTGCACCACATACTTACTCCCCAAAAGCATCAAAACACAGGAAGAAAGATAATTAGTCTTTGGCGTAGTTGGAGGCTAATTCTAATGGCTCCACGCATACAATTTTGATTTTCTTTGTTCCGTGAAGACAGAGAAACAAAAGGGTACAGATCAGCAAAAGGGTGCATTGCCATGTGGTTATTTTACACTGATGCTTTAAAATCTGGGCAGTGCTTTTTAAATACTTTCTGAAACTGATTGGAGCTCTTGGTTTCAAAGTCTGAAATTTAGGAATAGGGAAAAAAGTCAAAACTCAACGCTTACAAAGATGTTCTAAAGTGGAGTAATTGGATAGTTCCCTCACCAACCTTTCTTTGGGACTTTTGTTCTCTTCACTACCACTAATGATCTTGTCAATGTCTGTTAGAATGCAGCTTGTTGCTGTTGGCTGGAGAGCAGCTCTGCTGCCAGACAGCTCATGGTGAAACTACTGCCGGATCCAGTGTAAAAGTGAGTTAAAGTTAGTTAAAATGACATTTAATTCATGTTTTATCTCTTCTGAATTGGAGCCTGGGAGGTCAGTTTCAAGCTTGTGCTTACATAAGCAAGCAGAGTATCAAAAAGCACAGGGATAGATTAATGTTGCCTTCACATGCCTTTGTGCTTTTTCATCAGCGGCTTCATCAGTAATTTTGTTAAATCATATTTCAGTAATTCCTGAAATGCTGTGAAATTTATTTGTAAGACTGTTTGAGGATGGAAGTTAGGTTATGTTTTAAACCCAGTGTCTGATTTTTGTTGCTCAGTATGATTTCACTTGTCTGAACCTAGGTGATTTTTCTTTCTTAATATTGGCCCCATCTTTATGTCTCAGCTAGTGTTTAAGTAAACTCTAAACGAGTTTTGGGGAAAGTATGGAAGCCTTGTGAAGAAAGTGGGATTTGACACGCGAGTCGCTGTGCTCATGCCTGTTTGCTGTGTTTCCTGTGTAAGGAAAGTAATGGTGTAAGTTTTGTAAATTGCAGTCATTATTTTGTGGAGTATGTAATTGGAAATCTCTGCCAAATTCAGCAACCCAAAACATGCTGAAATGAAGTTGGTCTCTGCTTCTGATGGGCAAGAAAATCTCCAGGTTTAAGAAAGCAAAGTCACTTCCCTCGCCTGGTCCCCCAGCCTTGCCATATGGTAGTGTTCAGACTGTGTCAGCATTCCTAAGAAAGCTCTGTTGAGACAGACTGAATTATTTCTTTGTCCAGGGAACAAGGCACCAGCACAAACAGAAAAATACTGAAAATAACTCCTTGTTGTGTGTAAAACCTGCGTTCATTCTGATGCAGATATCCTGCATGAATTTTGGAGTGCTGGGAGTCTGCTGCCTGTTTGCTGGTTTTCTGTACTGTACCTGTGTTGGGTTAACAATGGGCACAAGAACGGAATTTGTTCATTTATCTGTTGTTTTTCTATGTAGAAGGCAGGCATTGAGGATTTACCGTGTATATTAACCATTCCTGTATCATTCCAATAAAATCGGTTTAGAATGCTTTCTCACACGACTGACTGGTTCGCATGGTTTGTTCACGGTTTGAAGTGGTCCCTTCAGTTGGATGAAGTGGAGCTTCCAAATGAAAAGGCTGCAAGCTCTGTACAGCAAAGTGCGTGTTACACATGCCCTGGTCCTGTTACGTCTGTTGGGTTGGAGCTCTTACCTATTGCAACTAGTGGGTTTTAATTACTTAGAATACCTCTACCCAAAATAGTCACTGGAGGCATTTGAGTTTTGGGGGAGCACTGAATACACTTCCTCATTAACCTGCTTCCCCCCTCATTCCCCAAGGCTGTGATAAATGGGAAGCGGATGGAGCAAATTGGGTTCATCCCATGCCTGCAGAGCCTGGCTGTGCCAGACAGTCCCTGTTGCTTTTTTGGCAATGTGTGATTAATTAGCTTTTAGGGAACTATGTTACTAAATATTTGTGTTGCCAGAGGGCAGTGTAGGATAAATTTTTAAACTAAAACTATTCCTTTTTTACCTTCTGTTCGTGCCTGGTGGATCCAGCAGGTTCATTAATTTAAGCTTTACGTGCTGAAGTTTTGCACCACCTGAAAGATGTTCTGTAGAGCCTCAGAAGATGCATTCTCAAGCCCTCAGACTGCCCTCGGGGTTGCCCAAATCTCAGTCTTCAATCCACATCCTCCAAAGGAAGCCAGTAACTTACTTCTTTCAAGAGTGGCTTGTAAGGCTGCTTGCGTGCCATTTATATGATCAGCTTCTGTTCTGTCTGAACAACTAAAGCACAACTGAGAACCACCAGTTATGATGTCTGTTAATGGTGTTCATTGCTAGTCCCTTGCATTGACTTCCTCTACTTCAGCATCTTAAAAAATGGTCCATTGTGTAAGATAGGAAAAGGGGCTTTGGGTGCTATTTCTGAATTAACAGTGAATCCCGTTTACCTTTCCTGTATATGCTCTTCACTTGTATAACCCAGAAAAAAATCTCCATGTTTCTTGTTTGTTCATACCAAGTCAAAACCCCGTGCTGCTATTCATTAATGTAATAACAGTTTTCAAAAATCTGTTTAGAAAACACACTGCATGTGTGCATATAATGTTTACTTAACTTGCTGTTTCAGGTTGCAGTGGTGTGCGCTGTAGTAATAAACTTTTCTACCAATTCATGTGGGACTTCATTCTTTTTTTCATGCAATATTCTCAATCTGCATCTCAAGGCAAATTCTGTAAAGTCTGATTGTATCATTGAGATGGTGTTGCACAGATTTCAAATACCAGAAATGCCTTGAGGGGTGCGCAGTGGAGGTAGGTGCCTGCTGGTCCCTGAATGAAAGGTCTTCAGAGAGTGTGTTCAGTTTAACTGCACAGTGACAAAGCACAGAATGGGTTAACCTGAGGTACAGCAGCAGTTGAGGAGGGGCTCTGGAGCAGCTCAGGTAGGGGTGAGAGTGTGTGCATGTATATACACACATACATACATATATATATATATGCACACACACAAACACACAGTATACAAAGATCTGCTCTGTGTCTTGATTTTCTGGCTTTTGGGTGGGAAGGTTTTTTCTAGATACGAGGAAAAGGCAGGGGCCAGTCCTGTGCACTCAGGCCCACAATTTGATGCATGCAAGGAATAAGGCTTTCCAAGAACAATGTAATTAATGTTCTGTTTTTTTTCCAAAGGACTAATTTAAATCCATTAACATAAGAGACTCAGACTGATCAGTAACCTGTGTTAAGGTCTTTTATCAGAGCTGATCTGTGTTTTCCCCATGATGGTATGAGAACTTTAATAGCCAATTTAAAAAGGCACTGAGACAAATCCATCACCTTCTAACCAGCCAGTCAGGTTTCCTGACTGCGTTTTCCTCTTTCACCAAGTCTTGGTTTTTCAGGGCTTTGCTGTGCTGTGGGAATGTGTGTATGACACTGCCTAGCAGGAGGCGGTCTGTGTTCACATTTCCCCAGCTGACTGAAGGAGTAAGGGGAAAATCAAGGTGTTTCCTTATTGCTCACATCCAGGTAGTCCATTCCAGATCCCAGTTCTGGTGTTGCATTTTTGCCACATTCCTTCCCCCCCCTCTTTTCTCACAGAGACTGGGACAGCCTCTGCACTTGTTCTGGAAATGGATTACACCCATGAATACATCAGGTAGCACTAACCATGCAGAATAATCCCTCTACAAATAAGTCATTAAGAGGTAATTATCTTTTAATGAGTTTCCCTGGGGAAGTGTTCTACAGATTTTTTGTATGATGTGATCTTGGTAGAATGTTTTAGATTGAACAGTTCATTATTTTGTTTTCAGTGGTTATTACTAATAATTTTGAACTGGGTTGGTAAACTTTCAGAACAACTGGAAAATGCAGGCGGCTTCTAGAAGTCAGCTTTAGGTGGTGAAGTAGAAAATTGCTGTCTCACTACAGGAGGTGAGCACCTTGAGCATGGAGTACTCCGAGTATGTAAAATACATGTGTTTAAGATGTTGCATTCATGAAGGAGCAAAATTGATTCTACATAGAGTAACTTCTCTCACAGGTTTGCCTGTTGAAGACTTGGGCACGAACTTGGGACTTTTCATTCCGAGTTGCTCGGTACATTTCAACATCCTTTTAAGGGAAACGAGCGACATCACTGATGTAACATCAGCTGCGATGTAATTCCCCCGGGGCTCCGTTCCTCTCTCAGCCCTTTCCCAGCGCACAGAAGCAATTCGCTGTTTGTGCCAGCAGCCCTTGCTCAGACGGACGGGTCGCGGCGTTACCGGTGAGCCCCGGTGGCCGCCGCCTCCTCACGGATCTGCAGAAGCCCGGCGGCTGGTCCAGGCAGGACGGGATGGGGCAGGACCCCCCGCACCCCGGGTACCGGCCACCGCCTCGGGGTGTTGCTGTGGCAACCAACCGCGCCCTCCCATTGGACTTCCCTGATGTCAGTCAGGGATGTCCGTGAGCGCCGCGGGGCTCGGTACCTGCCCTGCGTGCTGCGGCCGCATCGCTCCCATCGGGGGCCATCGCGCCAGCCGGCGGCCCCCTGAAGTGTGCTTCTGGAGGGAGGAATCGTGCTTCTTGGTGTCTAAAACCTGCATCCCAGCCCCGTGAGCGCCTTTCCGCTGCAAAAACGCCCCTCTGGGATCGAAACCAGGCTCGCTGTGCCGCTGTCATTAAACCTGGCAGAAGAGGCATCCCCGGAGAGCTCGAACTCGGGTTGGGGTAAATAAGGAGTTGCTGTGGGAGAAGGTATTGGAAAACTCGAAGAAGCTGGGGTTTTAAAATGAAATAGTGATGGTTTAAATGGAAAATAATAGACTTGCAGCAGCTAGGCTTGGAATAAAACAGTTAACGTAGTGAACTTCTATTTCACATTTATGTGTATCAAATACAGTGGCTGGATTGAGTGACTTTGCATGCTACTTCTTCCCCATCAGAAGAAGGTCACAAGACTATAAATCTGGCTATTTGTTTCAAAAGGGGAAATGTAAATATCACCGCCTCTGTAAGTCAGGTGGGTGACAGCACGAAGCTGAACTGCTCTAGATGGAAGTGCTGGGTGGAATTCAGGTTTGGTTTTGAACAGCCGGGTGAAGTAAGACATGGTGATCCTTCAGAGGACTTAGTTGGTGTTAAGTGATGTACTGTGGCAGTTAGCAACTCATCAGCATTGCACCACAGCCAGAAACGACTCCGTTCGCTTTTTTAACATCCTCTTTTAGCTCTGCTGTCACTTGGTATTCAAAAACCGTGCCCTTTTCCAGTGGGATCACTTCTGTTTTAAAAGGGAAAGAAAAGGGAACTAAATCATGTGTACTGTTTTTTTCCACACAGACAGCAGTGAAGAAAGGGTATGTAAGAGTCTGTTCTTGTGCAGCTGCTGTAGTAGGAGAGTTCTGGGCTATGTGACCATCCGCCTCCCTTACTTGACGAGGTTTGGTAAGTCTGGGCTTTTTGTGCCCTTTTTCCTCACTCTTTGTTCCAGAATGCAGGCACCATTTGCTTCACTTAAAGAGGGCAATTTTGCTAAGATACCCCTATTTTAGCTCTGCATTAACACTGTGACCATCTACTGAACACTATGACCATTTTCAAAGCAATGCAGCAATATTTTTTAGCGCTTAAAGATCTGGGTACCTATATCCCATTTTTCAGAGGTAGATAAAGCATATGTAAATGATCCCGTAGGTAAAATAAATGATTATGCTAATGTAACCAGGAGAAGGCATGGTGTATTGCCTCACTTGCTGGCATATTGCAATTGCAGTGTTGCCTTCAGCTTCAGGAGCAGTGCCTTTCCAGCTGAAACAGAACCCTGGAAAAGAAAAAGCAAATGGCTGTAATGTGCCAACAGGTGGGAAATAAAAAATATCCCATCTTTCAAGTAATTGGAGTTGTAGAAGAGCTTTCTGGAAGGAGTATTGGGATTAAAAAAAGTGACCCAGTGTTTCAAGTTTGATGGCTGATTGATAGAAGCAAATGAGTGAAGTGAGGAGGGTCTTTCTGGTTATATATCATATATACTCAATCTGCAGTGATTTCATTGCTGTGGAGGGCTAAACAGTGACTTGCATGGCATCCCTACTGATGGAACTTGCCAGCCCAGTGAAAAGTATTGAGCCTTAATTGTCCATGATGCAAGTAGAATTTTGGGTGTATTCTCAACAGCATGCCAGTGTGTCACGTTCTGTGGGAGATTTAGTATGTACTCTGCAGTAAAGCTGCCTCATCCCTTGCCTCTGCCCCCTATTTCAAACCATTAGCACACTAGAGGCACGTAAAGGTACTTGAATTACTCAGAGATTTAAAAAGGCATTTGAAGAACAGACAGATTTTCTTGTGTTCATCTTTCCCATGCCTTCATAAGAGGAGTGCTGGGGATCTTTTCCTTAGTGAGTTTAGGTCAGACTTGGCACTAAGTGGAAAGATTCCCGCTGATTTTAACAGTAGGTGAATTGAAAAGGAATGGTAAAGACTTGCTAAACACAGTAGATTATTTTGAGGCATATTGGCCAGCTTTTAATTGTTCATTTATCTTGATTGATAAAAGCCTACAGATACACAAGCATACTACTTATCGCTATTGGGGAAGACAAATTAATATCTATCTTTCCAAATCATCATTAAGAGGAACTTTAAAAACATTCCTATATGTGAACTACATGTTAGTTTTGCTGTATTTGAACTATCATCATCTTTTAAAGGTCCTTGGCACCTCACAGGAGGGCTCAGACCAATTCAGAATCAACCTCTAAGTCTGAATTTGATCTTGATTTCCTTCCTGTGTCACTCCTTCAGCTCTTGGAACTTGTTGTCTTTCAGTGGAAAACCTTGATTTGCAACTGATGGTAGTGATATAGACAAGTAAAATAATTTTGTTGATTTTATAGCCTATAACTGTGATCTATCTCAGCTAGCCACAATACAGAGAGGTTACTAGGAGCAGAGGTCGCATTAGAGATGAAGGACCCAGTTAATGCCCTTCCTATACCTACTGAATGACACTTGTTGACATGGTATAGAGGTTGGAATTGTAGAAAAGCATGCAGTTTGCTAAAAGTAAGTATTTTGGAGAGAGAACAAAAGAATCACAGTCTTTATGAAAAGCACATTGTGACTTTTTTGTTATTGCTCCTCTTTATCCAGAGAAGGTTGAGGTACTCTGCTTGTCACTCACAGGACTACATGGAACTCTGCTGATCAGGCTGTTACTCACACTTGTCATCATGTTGGCAGAAGGCATCTTAACTAGATTCATGTATAAAGAAAGCTGTCATCAAGATAAGCCTCACAAATCTCATGCACCCAGAAAGGATAAAGAGGGAATCTGGAGACAGAAACTTGTAGACAACCCAAAAATCAGAGGCTTTGCTGATGGACATGAGAAGCAGGGTGAGATCCCTGCTAGAAGCAGCAAAATGGAGCACAGGAGCAGTCCTCAGTGGAGATCTATAGAAAAGGAACCTGCAAAGGAACGCAAAGTGCTTGTTAAAGGAACCGTGTCACCGGCTTTGCATATCCCCAGGAGAGAACAGGATACTGATCAGGTGGATTTGTACAGGTCCTGGTTGTGCAACAGCATTTACCAAAACTACCCTGACCTGCACATTGGGGGAGACCGCGTGGGGGACCACGCGTGTGATTCAGGTTGTGTTTTGGACCATGCGTGGGATGAACTTCCCGATGGCCCTGTTTTACTGTCTGCAGATATCCCTCTAGGTCAGTCCCCTCCACGTGAGCATCCCGAAAAACCAAGTGTGAAGTCCCTGCCTGGAGATGAAGCTGGGGAAAGGAGTATTGTGCTCTGTAAGGAGCCCCTTTCAAACTCCGTGCTCAACAGGTACATGGAAACAAAAGTGGCAGAGCTCTATAAAGAGGTTTTTGAAGAAAACCTGACCAGATGTGGTTCTGTAACAAACCTCCTCACCTGCAGCTGGGTAAGGAATAACCTGACTCAGCTAAGCTTTCAGCTATCACAGGAGCAGAACATCGAAACATCGAAAGCCAGAGAAGTGCTCTTGCACTCTTTAGCTTTGTTTAGTTTGTGCAACACTACCAATAGGAATAGCTCTGAATTCAGTACTCCAAACTTACTAATCTCAAACCCAGCATGCATGAGGAAGAGCTGCAGGACACAGTTTACATCGTGACTGATCGACTTAGCTGGAGCGGTGAATATGGTTTGGATGTGAATATTTCACTCCAAGGACTAGGTTGGGAAATAAAACATTTACACACTACAGACTTTTTCAGATGAATATGTTAAGGCTTGAATCATACTTTGTTAACAGAGGAAGTAAAGGTCATTGTTTCCTTTTTTCCTAATATAGAATTTGAAATTAATTTCTCTCTAAAATACTACTCAACCATATTTTTATACTGTATATGTCCTCCTAAGACTTTGTATGAATAGTCATGTACCATTGGATTTACTCCTGAAAGAAAGAAAAATCAGTTGGAACATGGCTGATAAAACTTTCCTCTAAGAGACCGATCCACCCAACCAGATAGTGAAAGAGTCAGGTTGTCTTTACTAGACTGGACCATGTGGTTGAAGCCCAAGTTTGAACTACTGGGGTTCAAATTTTGCTCCTGCAAAGCTTGATCACAGTGCAAAATGTTTCCTTGGTTTGAAAACCTTGTGGGCAGGTGGAGGCGTGCAGGACTCGGGGATTATTTTGTGCATACCATACATAGGAAATATATTGACAGGATACATGAATGAAGACACTAATGTTATTGCAAATGTACGTTTGTACTGCGTAGGTGGAGAATGTTACAATGAAAATCTGGGTGATTGTTGATCAAGATTGTAAAAATGTTTAATTTTTTTTAAAAAATGTTTTTCTTTTAAATAAATCCTTACCTCTCTGATGAAACCCGTGCAGCTTTCTGTCAGTATACTGTTGGTTATGGATTATCTGTGGTTTTAGTAAATGGACTCTGCTTTTATTTCCTTGGAAATGAAGCACCTCCACCCTCAGCAAGGTAAGATGCCTGCAACAGATGGGCAAAACCAATTCCTGCTGAGGCTGAGCATGTGGCAAATAAAAAGAGTTAAATGAAATCTGACTCATACGTGTCCAAGACTGAAGTGACCATCCTTGCTGAATCAGAAATTCCCATCGGCCTCGGTGGTGTAAGGAGTGCAAGTGACACTTAAGAAATGAGTAATACTTGTCTAAGAGGGCAGTAAGAAAGGATGCTTTGCTTTTACTGGGCATTGCCCTGATTCCTTCCCATCCTTCAAAACCAAGTCAGGAGTCCTTTGGAAGAGGCCGAAGGACTGCATTGGTAGAGATGCAGAGAACAAGTTAACTGAGGGTGAGAGGAAAAATATTCCAGGGGACATCAGTAGCCAAAGGGTTTGCAATTAACCACAGAAAAAAGTGCTCTGTGGCATTTGTGCTGCCTTGCCCTTGCCTTTGATTTCCCCTGGGGTATATTTATAGCTCAAACTGAAGTCCTGAAAGAAGTTAATTGCACGGAGTTCTTCCTCAGGAAACGTGGAAGTTGGAGTTATGGCTGAGGGTCAGACTTTGGTCAGTTTTCTGTCCTTTCCAGCCCTGAGAAGCACAAGGGGTAGACCTATTCTCTCCTTCTCACCCCTGAGTCCTGGCCCTAGGTCTTGAAGCCAACTGTGGTTTCAACACTGATGTTCACAGATGCTGCTGAGCACTGTTGGCTGCCGCAGTGGGAGCAGCTCTGATGTCCCTGCTTCTCCCATCACCTGGAGAGAAATGGCGCAGTGGAGGAACGTGGAAATGAATATTCTGTGTGCCGCTGTGGATCTGTGTCAGTCCCATCCTGTTTCAGGGTGGGTTTCAGAGCCCAGTTTTTAATTAGTTTCATCAAATATGTGGACAATTTTGTCTGGAAGGAAAAGAGCACACAATACCACAAGCAGCATCATAATAAAGGCTACAGATACAGGCTGTCCTGATAACTTTAGCTTGTATTACAACCCAATGGAAGTGAGAAGCATGTTACAGAGTTCATGACAGCAGCTATACCAACATCAGCCGTATTATGGATGTGGATGAAGCAAGGATGTGTCTAGCACCTGCAAAGATAATATATGACTTTATTGCTGGCCTGCTTTCTGGTTTTGTTTTTCTACTAGAAAAATGTAAGATGACTTAGTTTTTAGAGTTTTAATGAACAGTTTGGAGGAAGGAAAGGGAAAATTAATTTTTCATAGCGATGTAGCTGCATAGCACAATAATACACGTTTTAGCAGTGCAAATGAGGATGTAGATAAATGTTAATATAAAGCACCACAGACCTTATTTTGTTATTGCTGCTGTGCAGTTTTGCCCATGGAAAAGTATCATGTATGTTGCTGCAGAATACATTTTAGGAGCAAAATCTGGTATTTCTGGAAAGCCAAGACAAATACATTTATTACACAGTTACTGGTTTAATGTCAATTTTATTTAGACTGATACGTTTCAATCCATGGCATGCTTTGGATTTATTTATATCTGAGAGGTACTGAGTCCCTTTGTGAATTTGAGTAGAACTCCATCAGCTGCACTGGAACTGCACCCATTGTCACCCGCAGGAAAAATGGCTCAGTGAACTCAAATTACATAGGGAAAACCACTTCCAAGGCATGCTCTGCTGGAGGACACCACGTGTATTCTGTTAGAGATGAACGCAGTGCTGTGTTTTACAGAAGGCCAAATGCTGCCTGGTGGCTCTTTTCATCCACAGGCCAGAAATCAAAGGAGAAATGCTGCCAGGGAATTCTTGCTTTCAGATCCAGTTCCCATCTCCTATCCTCATGGAGAACCATTTACCAGGTAACGGGACGAGGATGCTGGAGGCAGCTGGACTCTTCAGTTAAACCTACCCAATTAAACAATACCTGTAGTTAGGACAGCCTGCTCTGTCATGGGCAATAAGCCTCTGTAGAAGGTGATTCAATCTACCTGGGTAACAGGGCCAGATCAACGTTAGCAATTTTTCTGCTATCTATTAAATAGTGAAATGGTGATATCTAGTGGTGGGTTCCTTTAGTACCTCTTAGTTCAGGATTTCCAGAGCTTTACAACCATTTTGCAAATAAATCTCAAAGTCTGGCTCTCTTTGGAGGGAGGATTATTTCCCACAAAAAGGATGCTCAAGCATGCAGAACAACAGCTTCTATTAGCTGATGTTGTTATATTCTGCAGATTAAAACCTACAAAGATGGCAATCCATCTTTCTCCGCAATAGTTTACATATAAAAATGCAATATTGATATTTTTTCCCTGGTTTGCTCTTGTTTTATGTACAGGTTTCCAAAGTTTAGCTGTATGATTTTAATTAACCCAATCTTCTTTTTCACTTAATTCCTGTCTGCATCTGCTCTGAGTTAATTTATTTGTGATGACCCCATCAATCTATTGGGAATATAAATCACCTGCGTGGGTGCCCAGCTGTTAGCAAACCCTGCTATTCCTATGTGCTAGGTCCTGACTGCCTGGGGGCTTCTGAAGTGGAAATGAAAGTGTTTAGCATTGACCTGTGAATCCCAAGAGGCCAAAGACCTTCCTTCTTTTGTCCTGTTCCTTGCAGTGATTGCAGGTAATTCCCCTTAGCTTGGGGGCAGTGGTCTGGGGAAGGGAGAAAGGCTGGAGGAGTATCTGATGCAGTGGAGCATGCTGGAGGGGGAATCCTGCATCAGTCAGCAGCAGGATTGTCTCCAGATGGGTTACTGAAACTTGCACAAAATGTGCTGGGGGTGTTCTTTGGACTGTGTCTATTGGAGCTTTATTTCTCTTGGGATGCTTGTCTGGGGCTCTTTTTTCCAGGGGGAAAATTTGGCGCAATTGTTAAAATCGCGTTAAATCGCCGTTTCTTGGAAACCATCTGGCACCTTGCCACTTTCCCTATGGCGTTATTCACTGGTGTTTAACTGCTGAAGGAGCTGAGTAAGGGGCTGAGGAATTTCACCTGGTGAACGCTAACTGCAAGAGACCAGAAGAGCCGTGTCTTTGAAATCAACCAGAAGAAGCACTTAAGGCTCGCAGGGGTTTTCCATGTCTTGTTAGCACTGCTTCTCCTTGAGGGTAAGTGGAAACAGCATCTTTCCTAAATATAGCTCCAGTTATGTAAAACTGAAATACGCTGCTCTGAACTCTAAACTTCCCATGGAGCCAGGCTGAGAGAGCTGGGCTGGGGCAGCCTGGACAAGAGAAGGCTCCTGAAGAGGAGACCTGAGAGCAGCTCCAGTGCCTGAAGGGGGTGCAGGAAACCTGGAGAGGGGCTTGGGACAAGGGATGTAGGGACAGGACAAGGGGAATGGCTTTAACCTGCCAGAGGGGAGACTGAGATGAGCTCTTAGGCAGAAGCTCTTCCCTGTGAGGGTGCTGAGGCGCTGGCACAGGGTGCCCAGAGAAGCTGTGGCTGCCCCATCCCTGGTAGTGTTCAAGGCCAGGTTGGACACAGGGGCTTGGAGCAAGCTGCTCTAGTGGAAGGGGTCCCTGCCCGTGGCAGGGGTTGGAACTGGATGGGCTTTAAGGTCCCTTCCAACCCAAACCAGTCTGGGATCCATTCTATTTGCTCGGTCTGTCAGCAGTGCCGGCAAGGTAGAGGAGGCTGCCTTATGTGTTTATTTTGGTAGTGTCATTGCAGTTGAATTAACCCAAAGAGGGGTGCTAGCTGTAATTTCCCCCTGCTGTTTACATGGGATGGGAAATCTTGGCTTTGCTCTGGGCATGGAGTTCTTCACTTTACATTAAGCAATGTGGTATGGCTCCAATTCACTTCTCATGCTTCTGTGTTAGGCTTTTCTGCAAATTCTCAGGTCATTCTGTACCCAGCTGTAGGAAGCTCCGTAGAGGTTTCCCAAGTTCCAAGGCACAATGCTTAGAGTTCCTTGTGACAGACATACATTCAAGGAATATTGCTGGCCTTTAAGCTCTGATTTACTGTATAGGGGTCCTGGATGCTTTAAAAAAATTTCTTGGTTTGTGCAATAAGATAATTTCTTAGTGTGCTGTGTTGCTATTTTTCGTTATCATTCCCCATCTGTGGTGACTACACACTTCTGCTTTCCATTGCCACATGTATGAGGCACACTGAGCATTTATTTACTTGCTCTTCCATTGCTCAACCATACAAAATTGGTATTTCAAGAATTAATTACTAATCTGAAATGTAACAAACATTAACAAAGAGGAGTGAGAGAAACCCCAGGCTCGTACCTGCTCTCACTCTTTGTGTACATAGAATGTATTAGTGCTTTGCTCCAAATGGATAACATTTGTGAACTTAATGGACCAGGGAACATATCTACAAACTGATTTCCAAAACATCTTCACTTGAAGTTTTAAATTAACAAATTCTGTTCATTCTTATTCCTCTTTCCTTTTAGCTGAATTACAAGAATCCTCTCATGGAATAGGAAGGGAAGACATCAGTGTTGCATATGCAAAAGTCATGCAAGTTATAATGTAAAGTAGTATGTGCTGGAGGTGCTTGTGTGCTTAGAAAGGAAGGTGGCACAGCTCGGTTTCCCTTCACTAACCATGCACTGCTCGAGCCCAGCTATGGAGTATAAAGTACAGGTCACTGATCACAGGCAATGCCGTTGCACTGAAATGGCTTTTGGATAGATTTATTGAATACTTTTACGTAACGAATACATCTTGGGAAGTAGCCACCTGCTTATGCTTATTCCACAAAAAGAAACCAGAGCCTGCGTTCAGCAGGTAAAGGACTTCAGAAAAACTAGACATCACCTAACAGTTCATGTCCAGCCTGCTTTGGAGTACGGTGTGGTATGTAGGTGTATGCGTGTCCAAAGAGCAGAGGGCTGCTCCATAAGCCACTACACAGGGACTGATCTTCACACCGGGCTGAAGTCCGTGTATGAATGTATCTGGGGTAT